AGTTTCGAGAAGGACCACGTGTATCGACAGAAGGCGAGAAGAGAAAATTTACATACTTAAGTACTAATAGTTCACGAAAATAATAATTTTCGTGAACTATTATTACTTAAGTATGTAAAAATTTATTACATTTCCTGTTGTACGAGGGTTTTACCCAATTCTCGAACCGTGTCAGAGTAAATCTGTGCTATAAAAGTACCGTGTTATACGGGGGATGGTACCAATTCTCGAACCGTGTTAGAGTGAATCCGTGCTATAGAAGTGCCGTGTTATACGGGGGTTACTTGTATACCAAACCAACCTTTCCCATAAGAAGTAATGTAAAAATGATTAATCCGTTCTCATGTAAAAAAAAATGGCTGGCTTTAACACCTTGCTTTCCTGGCTAGTTCCTGCTTGATTTTTCATGAGATCAGCATGTATCTTTTTAGCTTTCTTGCAAATAATTGCTTCCAATACACTGTCTCCAGCAGATTGTTTTTCAGTTATCCAAAGCAAAAGCAATTTCTCAACATGATCTAATGTCTTTGATCTCTGTTTAGAAATTGATTTAAACCTTTTCGCAACATTAACAGATTTAATAATGTCTTTATTTTTCACGATTGTCAATATTGTCATTCTCGGAATACAGTATGCAACAGTTAAAATCTCAAACGCACATGCCACCTTCATATTTCTCAACAACCACTTTTATCAGTTTCATTGTGATTCTAGTCATTTTTTTAATTTTCTGTTGCTTTTCATTTGCCTTTTTGCAATTCATGATTAATAAAAATAATAAAATTTTACTTACAAATTAAAATCAGAAGAAATTTTAACAAAGTTATAAACCATTGCACTGCGAACATATAGTTTGGTCTAGTACACTGATAGTGCTACTTGTTCATAGATGACGCGTATAATTGAATTAAGTCGTATACCGAACAAAATTTGTTTTGTCCAAACAGGACCCCGAATTATTCCGAATTGGACGTATTCTAAAGCAGACGTATACCAAGGTACACTGTATTTAAAAGCTGGAAATATAATTTCTGCTTTTAAATGTATGATTTGCTTTGTTAAATTTTTCTATCATTGCAGACATTAAAAAAGAACATATTCAAATATTCTTTTTTTTACTGTAATTTAACAAACATTTAAATGAATAAAGATTAATTTTAATATTTCTTTATATCGTTGTATTCATAATGCTAGAAACATTAGAAGTTTATAGTAGTTAATTAAATTTTGAAATTACACTGGGTTAGTGTATAGCTATGGAATTGTAAGCTATTCATAATTGTAAGTGATTGATTTGGTGCTGATTAAGGTACTGTTGCTTCTGTTAGGTTCTTTTCTCTAATTAGGTTGAGATTTTGAATAATTTAATTTTGTAAACTGTAATAGTAATCAGTTCATTATTTTAAATACTGAATTTGAAATATTTCAGTTTTATATTAAGTGTTGTTGTTGAAATTATAAGTTTTGTTTTGTAGTCAGAAAGTTCATTTATAGTTTGATAAATTTTTAAAATATATTTTATGAATTCTGGTGCAATGGTATTTGGCATTTTAGACCTTGTACTTTCAGACCTTGTACTTTCAAGCTAGCCACTGCAATTTTAGTGCAGAAAGGTTCAGAAGTATTGAAGAAAAAATTTAAAATGGTTGTTGTGAACAGCAAAGTATTATAAATACATGCTTCCAAAGATATAATTTTTTAACATCATCTTCAATTTTGCTTAATTTCTGATAAAATAATTTGCTTTTTATAAAGCTGAAAGATTTAGAAGTAAAGCTGCAGTGAAACTGTTTCTTCCAAAAGTGGGATTGCTTAAAGCAACCTCCAGCAGCTTTACTAGGCAATATATTGTCATGTAACAGACAAGCTTAATTTCTTCAAAATTTTCATTTGTCAAAGTACAAATATTGAAATAACAACTTTTTTAAAAATCTAATTCCATCTTTCCACTCAAAAGATCAAAATATGTTAACTATTTCTACTATCATTAATTTTTCTCCACTTGTCATTGGGACGATTGGATTTTGAATTTCCTTAATTAACAAAATCCTGTATAAAACTTTTGTAGCAGATTAATGATAAAGGAAGCATATTTTGTTGCTATTAATTGCATCCATAATTGATTAATTGAAATTTTCTGATACTAACTAAAAGATATTTTTGCTCCTTAATTAACTATTTTGTAAAACATTGATGACAGCAAGAATGTTACCAAAGGAAACATCTAAAATGTTAGTACTGACTGTAGGAAATTATCAAATAGCATAAATAGCATGTCATTTTCAGTTTTATTCCACCCAGATTAATATGAAACTTATACAATTGCTTTATTTGTAGCATTTTTAAAGTCGTTTTGATTTTAAAAATCAAAATTTTCATTTAAAAATCAACATAAAGACAATATTGTTTAAAATCAATAATTAGCCAATTTTTGAAACTTTTTTCAAAACCAATTGATTTCTTTGTTTCTCTTAATGGTTTGGTTAATTTGTTGTCATTTAAGGTAACAAAATTGGAGGACATGAAAATTTTATGACAGAAGTTTCAGTTTAAAAAAGATATCTGGTTAAGAGCAAAAAAATACCTCTTAAACTTGTGTAGTGTGATTTTGGTTTATGAGTACTCAATAAAAAAGAAAATTGTTTTTATCAAATTCTTATACATTTTCCTGACTTGAGATGAAATTATCAATACAATAAACACTGACGAATATTCTAATCACAAGTATGAAGAGATTGAAATTCTGCATTTGTGCAATTGAGATGGCTCTTAGGTTCTAGGGACCTATTCTGAGCTCTTCCAATAACTCAATGAAAGCGATACATGAGACATTTGATAAGTCTTTTTTGTGAAAGGCAGTTAACGAACTTTAGACAAATTGCTATTCTTTGCTCCATGTTAAGTACATTTTGCTATAGATAATCAGTTGAGATGCATCTGGGTTCCATGCTATCAATAGTTCTTACACTTTAACCAATCACAATTTAGTTAGCTTTGTGTTTTTGTCAGGTGTCTGCAATCCACTGTTTTCCAAGCAAAGCACATATTTTTAGTATTGTGTACCAGCATTAGCAAAATTTTTTTGTTAAAGTCATCAAAGAAGGGACAACGCAGTCAGCAAACTACAAGTTAACAGTTCAAGATATCAGTTAAAACATTTTGGCTCTAGTTTTTCTCATAAATCACTGCATAAATGTAACAGTAATGGCTTCGGAAGACAATAAAATTCTTTAAAGCATGTATTATTCAGTCAAAAAGCATTATTTCGAAGACAAAACTGAGATTCACATCATCAAATGCTAATTTTCTCTCTCCAATTGTTCATGAAGTAATACCATCCTTATACCTAAAGTCACAGTGTTCTTTTTACTTTTGTTAGATACTTGAGCTGCCATTAGGAACATATCTATGTAGCTTCTCCAAGCCAGAGATTGCTAATAACCAACCACTGCTCCTCCCAATCTCTCACAGCATAAATTAGTTGATTCTTTACTATTGAACACAAGACTGTGTTATTATTAAAACACTTGGCATTTATCCACTTTATTCAGTTGATTCTTAAACTTATTGGCTTCATAATTACTTAGATTTTTAATTTGCTCTTTTTCATCCACTTCATTTAGATGATATTCTATTTTATTATTCTTTATTTTCCTAAGATTACGTTTTAAACGTCTAAGTTTAATATATTTATATTTTATAGCTGACCTTAGAATCTTGAGATTGAAGTAATTTCTGTCTCTTGTAGGGATGACTTTTGTGATGGATTTAGTGACTTATTAAACTTAGACGTTTAAAACGTAATCTTAGGAAAATAAAGAATAATAAAATAGAATATCACCTAAATGAAGTGGATGAAAAAGAGCAAATTAAAAATCTAAGTAATTATGAAGCCAATAAGTTTAAGAATCAACTGAATAAAGTGGATAAACGCCAAGTGTTTTAATAATAACACAATCTTGTGTTCAATAGTAAATAAATATGAAAACACGGTTTCAAAAAATGAATCAACTAGTTGATTCTTATTAATTTAAATCTACTCCGCTATATCTTGTAGGTATATCTTGTTTTTTGAAAACACGGTTTCAAAAAACGAATCAACTAGTTGATTCTTATTAATTTAAATCTACTCCACTATATCCTCTGTCTTCCTCGAGAACAGGTTCCTTGGATCCTGCCCTTCAGTATGACAGGAAGCAGTGAGTTAGTGGCCTGGATGTGGCATGGCCACAGTACCTCGTTTTGCATTTTGCTATAATAGGAAGCAGCTGTCACTCTCCCACACCGGTCCGTTCTAGCACACATGCATTGGTCACCCGCTCTGTCCAGCTTATCTGTAGCATGCACCGATAGCACCACATCTCAGATGTTGCCAGCCTTTTCTCCATGCCCTTATTCAAGGTCCATGTTTCACATCTGTACAGCAAGACAGACCGTACGTAGCAGCATAGTACTTTGAGCTTTATCTCCAGGCTTAGTTTCTTATCTGTAAGTGTTCGCTGGAGATTAGAGAAGGCTGATTTTGCCATTTGGATTTGTGTTCAGATTTCTTTGTCACATCTACCACCTCTTGTTATAATGGCTTCAAGATATTTGAATTTGATTGCTTCTTCCAGTAAAGTACTGTGTACAAATATTTAGGAATTGTCCGTCACGGAGTCTTTACTAATTCTTATCCATTTCGTCTTTTTCCCGTTGATATGCATGCCATATTTCACACTGCCTGCCTGTAGTGAGTTTAGTACAAGGGCTATTTTTTAAATAAGGTCCATTTGCGAATGATGCGTGATTGCAGCAGTGTGCATGAGCATCTACTTTCAGCATGCTTTGCACGTGTTTAGATACTATTTGCAGCCGTATTGTCTGTCTGTGTGCTGAACTGTAGAAGTTTATAATGTTTAAGAAAATTGAGTCGCCTGCCAACTGTAAGATACAATCTGTTATTCGATTTCAGCACGAAAGATCATGGTAACTGTCTTTTGGGACAGGAAAGGGACTTTGTTAGTGGATTTTATGCCAAGAGGCACAACAATCAATTCTGATGCTTATTGTGTGACCCTAGAAAACTTCACCGTGCCATACAAGACAAATGGTGTGGTCTAATGTCTTCCGGTAGCAGGTGGCAGATTTCTTTGAAGTCAGAATTAAAAAGATTTTTGAGTGGTATGACAAATGTTTGAACAAAAATGGAAATTATGTAGAAAAGTAAATAAAAGTATGTAGAATATGGGAAAAAATATATTTTAATGATTAAATTTACAGTATTTTTCTTCTTATTATAAAACGGACCTTATTTAAAAAATAGCCCTCATATCTGTTGGAACTCCGTCGCGGATGTGGCAATGCATGCAAAATCGTCGGCGTACCAGATGTTATTGATATTCACTCCTCCGACCTTGATTCTCAAATCCCTGCAGAAACATTCCAGTGTTATCTGTTCGGAGAAGACATTAAAAAGTATGGGTGATAATACACATCCCTGTCTAACTCTTTTTTCTATCTGGCATGGTGCTGTTTCTATGTCGTCCAGCCTAACTGTGGCAGTCTGGTGCCAGTACAGGTTGCCAATCAGTTTATAGTCATTTGTGTCCAGATTGACTCTCTTTAATGTTTCCATTAAAAGTGGGTGTTGTACTTTGTCAAAAGCTTTTTCAAAGTTGAAGAAAGAAATGTATTTTCCTTTGCATTTCTATGGCTCTTTCCGATAAAATTCTCACAGCAAACAGTGCCCATTCCAGGCCTAAACCCAAATTGCAATGGTCCTAACTGAGCTTTTGTTTTGTTTCTTACTTGATATCCTATAATTTTTAGTAAGAGTTTTAGGCTAGGGCTCATTAGACTTATGGTTCAGAATTGATCACATCGCTTGGCATTATGCCTCTTTGGGATTGGAATGAAAATGGATCTTTTGAAGTCGTGTGGTAGCTGTCCATCTTTGTAGATTTTATTAAAAAGATCTAGTAGCAATAGATAGTTTTGCAAATGTGTCCAAAATTTTAGGAGCTCAGTTGGGATGTCATCTTCACCAGGAGTTTTTCCACATCTCATGGAGCCCATGGCACATTCTAATTCTCTTAGTATAATAGGAGGGGCAGTATCTCCTTCTCTTGAATGAACCTGGGGATGTCTGTCATGATCCCCAAACAAAATTTTGATGTATTCTGCCCAAGTTTTAACTCTTTCTTCTTTTCCACATTTCATTTTGTTCTGTTGGTCTATTAAATTTGTTACTTCCTTCTTTGTTTTCTTCAGTTCCTTCATGGTTTCTTTGATGATTCTATGGACTTCTCTGGTATGGTGCTTTTTCTCGTGCTCCTCTATTCTTTCACATTTCTCTTTGAACCACTTTTCTTTAGCTTTCGCACATCCCTACTTGATCATTTGATGAAGTTTTTTTGTATTGTCCAGGGTTTCGGTTCTTAAACTTTCTGCACTTACCCATCAGTGTCAAAATGTTCTCTAGGATCCAAGGGTTCTTCCGCTCTTTTTCCTTTTTTGTTAAATAGGGTACAGGCAGCAATCTTCATTGCACTTTTTATGTTTTCCCAGTGTTTCTCTATAGAGGGTATGTCTTTATCTTGAATTTCTTTTGTAACCGCCTCACTGAAATGTTGCCTGATCTCGCATATTTTCAGTTTGTCAAGGTTGTAATGTAACTTCTTGACATTTTTTGTAATTTTCTTTAATGAATGGCACATCTGGCATGGAGTAAATTATGACCAGTGTAGCAGTCATCTGAAGGCCTTGTTTTAACATTGAGAATTGAGTTTCTGTATCATTTGTTGATCAGGATGAAATCTATTTGATTTCGTACTATTCTGTTTTCTCTGTCTTGAGGACTTTTCCATGTGTACAGTCTTCGTGGATGTTGTTTGAACCATGTGTTTGTGATACATAGGTCATGGTGTTCTGCAAATTCAACAAGCATATCTCCATGTTCATTTCTTTCGCCTAGTCCATAGTCACCTACTGTCAGTAGTAACTCTGCCATTTCTAACTTTGGCATTGAATTCTTCCATTATTATTTTGATGAGAAAACACTCAGACTCTTTGCAAGTCTGAGTGTCTTCTCAAGCTGTTTGTAGAATAGTTTGAGAATAATTGATAGGAAAAGCTATCACACATGGCTAGAGGAACCAAAAATAAAACATACGGCACAGAATAGCACTTTCACAGCTGATTAAATGCCAATCATGTGGTTCCGACAGAAACTGGTTTTATCATATTCGTTAGCTTAATGATACAACTCAGAATAAGTATTCTGGTCTCTATTTTCTTTGTTTTATTTATAATGTATATTCAATTATTAGGGTAGTACCATTTAGTCTAAGGTTATGCAGATTGAAGAAAAACTAATTTCTTCAATCTGCATAATGTCCTTTTTACTATCAATCATATTTTCATGTCACACTCCTAGTTAGGTTGATTAAAATTAGCTAAAAGATAAACAGAAATGATAAATTTCTCTCTCTTAAATTTCAATTGTTTGAGTGAGCATTACTAAATATGAAGTTCAACATTTTACTTAAAAATTTAGTAATTAAACTCCAGACTATATGAACTTATAGGAAATTTAAGATTATTGTTTTGCATTCTTACTTGTTAGTGTAAAAGATTCAGGAAACTACCCATTACTATTTACCATACCACATATCAGAAATTTCATAGTTTTTAAATGCAACATGTCAATTTGATTTTTCAAGATGTAGTCTGTGTGAGAAATAAATCAACCAATGTTTTATAGTTAATCTCACGTCCTTCTAAAACTGGAGGTTATATTTCTAAGTTCTTTCAGCCAAGTGGAAGAATGTGAAAATGCTTCTAGAAAAGAATTATTGATTGCTCCATTATGTCTTGTATCAATGTAATTGCTAAATGAACTTTGTATATTATATACAAATTGTAAACATATTGTATTTGTCTATGATAAATAGAAATAGTTTGTACTGTAAGTTGTTGTAACATTCTTTAAAATTTCCTATGTAATATGTAAATGAAATTAAAAAATATATTTTTTAAATTTCAGATAATTACAAAAGTAGAGAAGACCATAAAAAACACACACATCCGTTTTGATGACTGACTGTAAATTTTATGTTTCACAAATAAAATATTTTATATAAAAATATACAAGTCTTTATTTTCTAAAACCACCACGACCTCCAAATCCGCCTCTTCCCCTAAAACCACCTCTGCCACCACCCCCTCCTCTACCGCCACCACCTCTGCCACCTCCAAATCTGCCTCCTCTTCCACCACCCCGACCTCTTCCGCCATTGCCTCCTCTACCTGAAATAAAATCAGATTAAGAAAGAATTTCATGAAAGGAAACAATTATATATCATAGTCTTGATGACATACCTCCTCCTCTTTTACCAGCTCTATTTGAGGAACCAGGTGGACGAGGAAGGAATCTTTGCAAAGGTAATAACTTGGCCGGATCAATATATATCTATATTTAGAAATTTGATATTTAGATCATATGAAATTATAAATAAATCAATATCTGGAATATCATATAAAAACTGTGAATTTCTTCATCCTCATTAAACATCCTCAAAAATTTCCACAAAAGACCTCATTTCCTGTCATCTAGTCACCTTACTGAGGTCTAATAAAATCGATTATGGGCATGAATAAAGGTCCTCTTAGTACTCATTTTAGGTTATGGCAGAAGAATTGAAACAGATACTATCAGTTCAAAGGTCAATTCATTGGTATAATAAATTTACAGAATATTTTCAGATTAAGTTACAAACATCTTGCACACATTCAGTTTTGTATAAAAAGAGTTGTATCAAGTTAATTTTCAAGTAAAATTACATTATCAAAATAAATTATTATCTTCCAGAATAAAAATCATACAAATACAATATATATGCATGTCAATTTACATGGCAGATTAGTTCTACATGAAACTATAGATTTTTGGAATGTAGCCTGAAGATGACACTTTAATAGGCTGAAAAACAGGGCCGAATCATCGCATAGACAAAGGAGACGAATGTTTAGGGCCTGGTCAAACTGTCTATTTTGAAAAGATTTGTAAATAAGATAGTTTACTTTTCTGTTAGACAACTGTATATAATAAAAATATATTGCTTTTTATATTGTTATTGTGAATTCTAAAATCTAAAGAAACTGTGTTCTTATGTTTCTTCTTATTGAAAGTAAAACTCCTAATAATTTAGAATTTTTTTTTGTAGTGATAAGAATACATATAGTTAATATTATTCTTAACATCCTGTGGAATATTGTTAAATAATTTTGCTTTTATTTTTTATTAAGCAGCTGCAGTGTCTGTATATGATTTAATAGAAATAATAGTAACAAGATTTATTAATTCAAAGAGCCGGGAGGGGGGACCCGGTAAGAAGAAAATGTCTAGGGCCTCAAAGTGGGTTAATCCGGCCCTGGTTGAAAACATTTATTCAGAGTATAATTCTTTCATTAAGACTTTTAGTTTTGTCTGTAAGCCTATCAGTGATGGTTTACTTTATTTTAATAGAAGAAAATGTATCCAAATCAAACATTTTTTCAATGAAGCAATATAAAACGAACCAAATTTTCAACTGTAATTGCAAATTTATGATGTACATGTACTTAGTAAAATTAAAACAATTTCTGTGACTGACTGAAAATTATAACATCAGATATTGGGTAAAATTGTAGCTCTAAATGAGTCAATTGGGACTTTATCAGAGCTGTAGATCATGCCCATAGGAGTAAAAAAAAATCAAAGGAGCTGATGATATGTGACCCATTGCAAGACATAGCCCTCAAAATCAGCCTATGAACATGCAATAGGCTTAATGTAGTGTGAAACATAACCCCAATCACTCCCTGGTTTGGTTGTGGTTTGTTTGAGTTATAGCAATGCAACACTTGGGCGATCTGCCTAGGGGATGCCTTCCAGGAGATCTTTTTAAGGGAAACTGGCCCCTGTTTAGGTGTTACAGACATGGAGAAACCCCAGAAAACTCCACGTGGCCAGCCCATCCGAGTGACTGCATGACCACTGATGGATCTATCACTCCCCAGAAGTAGTGCAATGGCATTTCTAGGGTTTTATGAGCTTTAGTCATCTCTAGTAAACTGGAAAACAGTTGATTTTTAGCAGTGTTTTAAGAAATAGTTCTGGGTTTTTTCACATTAAATTTTGCCCCATGTTTGAGGATCTTCAAAATTCCAGATTAAGCCCTCCAAAATTAGCCTATCTCATGAAGGGTTGCACAAAGACCATCAGTTCCTTTGACTCTTTTTTACTCCTATGGACATGGTCTGCAGCTCTAAAATCCCAACCACCTCATTCAGAATTGCAATTTTATTAGATATTGGTTATTTTATTAGTAATTGTAACTAAAAAATCCTGCAATATAATCATTGTTATTTTTCTAATATCCTTTTTATTCTGGCTCCAGATAAATGTAATCTGTAATAATCCATGTTAAATTTAATCCAATTTCTTATGCTATTTTCTAAAGGCACACTGACAATGTTAATTGTAATTATAAATTTGCAGTAGTTATAATTTAATACTTACTTTTGTATTCTTTGCAAATGATCCTGCTTTCACATCATCTGATAACTTCACTGATATATTCTTTTTAATTAATTATGGAATTTAACAAATTTTGTTTTGAAGCTATTAATATTAATATGGAATACGTTATATAACAGTTTTCATATATCAAAAACATTAATTGTAATCTTAAATTACAAGTTCTGAGTTTTGATAATCTTAAAATTATACAAATATATATAAAAGAAAGTAAAAAAATATATATATATATTTTAGTTCAAGTAGTATAGTCTAATTTACAACTGAATTTATCATCAAAGAAAAAAGGATACATAATCTCTGATGGGTCCAAATATTTCGTCGACTTTTCCAATTTGTTGTTTGTTCTCAAGATAAATGGGTGCATTGAAGAAGGGAACGTCGTCTATGATCACTTTACAGACTAGGTCATCTTGACAGGGATGAGTAAAATAACCAAGTTCTGGAACAAATAAATTGTTAAATTAATCCAACTACAAAAGAAAATGAATTGATCCTAGAATTCATAACAATTTAAAACAGAATTTTTGTAAAATAATGTAAAAATTCTTAGATATTCAAGAGTTAAATTTCAGTATGCAGTTACATCAGTTTATTTTTTATTTTATTTTTTTTTCAGAAACAGTTTAAGTATAAATTTGTTCTTAATCTAATTAACAGTCATAAAAATGTGTACATAATTTAGTAGTTATCTTAAGATGCTGTTTATAACAGTCATTAGTATAAACAAACCAAACTGTGATGGTGGTTGGAGTGATTATTTGTAAATAAATTTACATAACAACAAAGGATATATTATTTTAATGAGATATACTAAAGAGTCTTATCATAAAACATAAATCTGAGAAATATGTAACTAATACTCAGTCATGTGACAAAGTTTCTTATACCACATTAGCTTGGTGCTGTATAATTTGAGAGTTCTGTTTTTATATAAAACAAATGTTTACACAAATAATAATAAAAAGAGAATTAGCTGTTTAAAATGTGTCTAGTACAGCCAATTACAGTTTCATAATATATTGATTGTAATGAACATATTGTATCTTGCACACAAACCATATCCAAGTGTTGCGTTGTCATAAGGGACATATTGGAAACAGGTTTTTACACACAATTACTATACTTTTGTACATTATCTAATAAGAACTATACACACATAGAGAATATCTATTATGGTGATTTCCTAATATGTAATGATTGATTTATTTATTCTAATTTAAGTTATTACAAACTTTACAAACACAAATGTCTTCTAACTGTTACACTGTGTTGAGTAATAACTGTCCACAAAAAACCTTTATCAGTGTTGTGTTCGTTACAATATCCACTAATGTTTTCGACCTCCACCGAGGTCTTCTTCAGGTGCTGACTAAGCATTGTCTCTCCTTGACTGTTAGAATGATGTCGTCCGAGATGTAAATATTGCACGTATCACATTTCATCCCTCCGCTTGTCCCCATTCAAATTCCTCGAATAGGTATCTCCATGCCTGTGCGATCGTTTCTCCGTCTTTAAAGTTGATACAGGTGCCCCCAACATTGGGGGCACCTGTATCAACTGTACAAACTTTGTAGATCTCCCAGGGCTCCAGGTGATGGATGTGATCAATTTGAAATGCCTGTCTGATTAATTTGGTGTTCGGGAGTCCGCCCGAATTTCAGGGTCACTAACGTATGCTGTTACGGCGGTGTGCCTATTATTCTTAATGTCCGATTGATGCTTGCATAACCGTTTTTGTGTTGAGCGCATGGTAGAACCAATATAAACTAAGTTTCTTTGGAATCTATCGTCCCTGATGGGAATGGAGTAAACCCCTGGGGCTCTGTTGAGTTCTATTGCATCTTTAGCATTGCGCAGCAGGTCATAAATAGTGCTGGTCCTGTATGCGATCTTTGTGTGGTTATGGCAAGTAATTCCCTGTATAGGGAGTCCAAATGTTGGTTGAACTAGATGACCACGTGCCTATCATTCTTAACGTGCTGCTGTCCATTGTCCGGCATAGTCTAGGGTAACACTGCTGCGCCAGGGAAGACAGTTGGCGCAGGGCAAACCACACGGGCCACACTGCAAATCATGCCCTTACTGTAGATTCCAAAGAATAGATAGATGTATTCCAAAGAAAGTTAGTTTATATTGGTTCTACCGTGCACTCAACACAAAAACAGTTATGCGAGCATCAACCAGACATTAAAAATAACAGGCACACCACCACCTTAATGGCGTACGTTAGCGACCCTGAAATTTGGGCGGGCTTCCCGAACACCAAATTAATCAGACAGGCATTTCAAATTGATCACATCCGTCACCTGCAGACCTGGGAGATCTACAAAACCAACGTTGGGGGCACCTGTATCAACTTTAAAGACAGAGAAACGATCACGTAGGCATGGAGATACCTATTCGAGGAATTTGAACGGGGACAAGCGGAGGGGTGAAACATGATACGCGCAATATTTACATCTCGGACAACATCGTTCTAATGGTCAAGGAGAGACAATGCTTAGTCAGCACCTGAAGAAGACCTCGGTGAAGGTTGAAAACGTTAGTGGATATTGTAACAAACACAACACTGATAAAGGTTTTTTGTGGACAGTTAAACTTTACAAATGTTAGTAATTTGATGGTGGGCTTGGTTGCTTCAAATTATTCAAGAAACTTAGTGCAAGTGAACTCTAATAAAGCAGACTTTTATTATTATTTTGTTGTTAGTTATTTTGATTTGGAAGAAGTAGATGCAGTCTTTTAATAAATTTAAGTTGTTGCACAGGTTTTATTTGACTGCAATACTATGATCAATAATAGTACTAGATTTATAAATATCAAATCAATAATGTTACCTTTCACTTCTTCTGGTGGTCCTGAATCATAACCTCCCCATCCTCCACCTCCCCTGCTGCCTCTTCCTCGACCACGACCACCAAAACCACCACCACCACCACCACCTCTTCTTCCTCCAAATCCACCGCCACCTCTTCCTCCTCCTCCTCCACCACCAAACCTTCCAAATCCTCTACCACCACCTCTACTCATTTCTAAAAAATTTGAAAACAACAAATTTATTATGTTATCACAAATCAGTAAATATGTATCACCATAAAGTTAAACATGCCTTTTTATAAAATCTATTAGTTATAATCTGTTGAAATTTCAACATTCTGGTTTTGATTATATACAGTTTTTTAATTTTAACAATTCTATTACATTTTAAAATTATATCAAAATAGAGCTAGGTACCAACAGACTGCCGAAAATCTATTGGGCTAGTTTTATGCTAATTATTAAATAAATTACGTAATCAATTTGGCACTAGAGGTAAGCGTTAGGCACCATCTCTTATTAATATTAATAATTATAAATAAATTAATTAATTTAAATAATTTAGAACCGCTGGGAGAAAAAA